TATTCCGAACACTCTGACTGTAATATATTTGATTTATATAAAATGTCTAATAACTAAACAAAAATAGTTTGCATGAATACATATGTCATGCTAACTATGATTTGCTAGTTTTACAAACAAAACTTCACTATTCGATGGATTTCAGAACATAGACATACACATCAACGACCAATTACTCACAGTCAATCAAACTAAAAGCGACATATGACTATGTCAATCGAGAGATTTCAACAAAAAGAGTAATGAGGTGTATTTTTCAGTCGAGTACGACCACTCAAATCAGAGCTTATAATAAACTATCATCTAAACCGGTCTACTTCCTTTATTTCTATTCCACGTATGCACTCATAGAGGTAGAACTTTCTTCACTTAACTTCTCAGAGACCAACCCACTTAGGAACTCCCTCAAAGACTTGGAGTACACTAATGATACAGTCCCATTCGGTGAGGATGCTAACAAAAGGCAGTCATTTTAGAGACTTCATTGACAATGAAAGAACGTTTGAAATCCACTCATGCTTATAAGTGTTAGTTTGTTTCGAGTGAATTATATCGACACCCAACCCTAATCAAGAAAGTAAAGCAACCGAGTTTTACCGCTTTAGACTTATCTTAAGAGTATTATAACCCTCGGAGGGTAAATGACTGAATAAGCTTCAACGATAATAAAGAAAGATCCCTCAGCTCTTGTTGATATGAAGGAAGCGTATTTTATTTATTTGAACACATAAATATTGGTAAAGGGGCACCGAATACATATGTGCCACACAAGTCATTTGATTTGCGTGGGATGTGATATTACCCAGGTGCCCGAACCGAAGCAGGTGGTTTCCTCAGAGGGCCACTCCCCAAATCTTTTACCTAGAGGTCTAGTTCACAAAGCAGTAAAACAACGTTAGAAGATGCGGTCCCATGATAGCCGGTGACCAACAATAGGTTCATATGTCATTTGTTCCCTCAGGATCCTGGAGTCCATGTACACCATTGGTTTGGAATCAGGGTTTTCCAACTCCCCATGTAGATCCTCTGTACCCACAGACCCGATTAAAGCACTGGACATTCGCTTTTCATCCTCTCAATTCCGTAAACAACAGTAAGGCCGCAAGAAGGAAGTGAGTAGGACTTCCCTAGCAGTGGCTGTTTACGCGTAGCTATGTGAGAGCATTTCGAGAGGGAGAGCTAACTCTCTCCACCATCGGCCGTACCATGGCATTTGGGAGCAGGTAAAAAGGTTCCATCTTCATACCTGGAAGTTAGGGTACTTTGGAGTTCTTAAAACTGGTTATGACATAAATAACGTGGTAAAACTTGATCATAAATGTTTCTGAAGGATTCTGTGTGTAAAAACTACCAAATAGTGCTGAAGTTAAACGTAAGGTCCCGGATACAAGTTTTTCTGAATGATGAGGCTTTAAATCAGAAAAGACGTGGACTGGTGACAAACAGATAAAAATACATCCCGTAATTTGTATAACTTTAAGTACCTTATATTTAACCAATTAGCTGTGCTACTTGACTAATTCACATTGGATAACTAGGAAAACAAAGTAGTTGGGATAACATTGTCACATAACGTAACGAATCATGAAATACAGACCGAAGCCTTATTATGAGCCAAGCATATCTTGCACAACGTTAATTCCTTGTTCAATATTTAAAAGACTACGTTATGAAATCATGTTCCATCTGCGAAGTTGTTGATAAGTTACTCGGACAATGAAAATAATGGACAGAGGCTGATTTACAATTCGTCATTGTTTTTTCGATAGCTAACATATATTCCAAAACACTGCTTTTAAACTATAGAACATTCTTACAATGCCAACTAAGATAGACATTTCTGAGACCTTAACTTGTGATGAGCAGAAATACAATTAAAATGCATGATAACAGCCTATACTGTGTTGAAAGAAAAATACACTATAGTTTTACACAGTACTACAAAGGACTTGGAATGCACACACTTTGTACAATAAGCTTACTTTTATGAGTCCTATAAGGCGAGATAAATTCAGCGGAATTTATAACTATGGTTGAATGTGCATTAATACCTAGTTTCAACTACTAACATTAGCTTGAAGAACAATTCATAATAGCTATTTCGGCTTATTTCATTACAATCTGAAGTTAAGACAATAATCTGAGTCTAAGTATATGACTCAAACGAACTTCGTCATCACTGAAGGTCAATCAAAACAGTTGAAATGTGATATAGCCCATATTTCTAGGAATTAAGCTTGCTTATCTTTCTAAATGATGGAGAATACCATCGACCTCACGGACAAACGAGATTTCGTTTGCTGTTATTAATCATGCTTAATAGTCTATGCTATTTGCAATCTTATAACACGGATTTAGACCGATTTTTCGTATGTAGTTACGTAGAATCACCAGTTCCTACACAATAAATCAAGATACGATATAGACAAAACGTTAGTAACCGAGTTGTGCTGTCAAAATATACAAATAACGAACCTGTACAGCGAAACATGGCGGGAATTTATGGATGGGAACATTACTAGCAGTAAATGATATTACACAGTGTGACAGTTAATAAAATCTTGAAACACTACTATTTTTGTATACCTACAAGCTAGTGTATTTAGACATGACAACCAAACCAAGAAAAGGTTACGCAATACCAGATGTTTCTACCCTATTTTTGTTTCTGGACATACAATAAGATAGGAATTTCGATCACATGAACAGTGGAGCATGTAATGTTCACATTACCCAACTGGTCACGTAAGATAGTAAATGAAGCATGAGTTTATCTCCTTGGATATCTAGACTTACTACAGGCGAACGTCGGAAAGAACGGATTCCGTCTAAAGACTATCTTACTGGGTCAAGTTGATTCTCAAACACATTGTGCAACATTAATACGTACCTAGGGGTGATTTGGACCACAAGTTTGACTAGTGGTAGTTCGAAAAGTGTTTCCACATTGAGCTTTAAACGACATTCAGTTTGAAATGTTATCTCAATGGAGATGGGGCTCATGCTTTATTACCAATCGTCTAAAATTAACAGGTGTAGTCAAACCAATGAGCGATTAATTTACGAGCATAATATTATCTCTATATTCAGCTTGTTCCTGAGACCGGATACTCAGGAGAATCTATCGGTAAATTGGACTGTAATATTTATGAAACTAAGGAAGTATTATTGCTCACAATTTTCACAACCTATGAAACACGAGTATGTCTTCAATACCACACCTTACTATCATTGTCACAGCTGTGTTTTTAAGCACAGAAACTACGTATATATTTCACTTTGATAAGAGGCGAAATTTCCACTACCAAACAGAAAGTATTGGAAAGACTCAAGATGAAAAACTGGGCAAACTACTTAATCGCCAAATTAAGGAAGGATGTATTAAGGCCATAAGACAGCAAACAATAAGTGAAACTGCAACTACTTAAATACAAGGGTGTGTTATCTCACTGTAAATGAAAGTAAGATACTTTATATCACAAAATATATAGCTTTACACTTTCCCTACAATGATCGGTCAATTTGATCAAAAATGTGAACACATTGAGCAAAATACATTGACTCAACTAACCACAGAGTGAAAACATTCGTCCACCTGTATAATGAGAGACTATAAAAACACGGACTAAAATGCTGATTAATCGCAGTACAAAAAATGGTAAGAGTGCACACGACAAATCTCAGTCAGTTAAAAACGCTGAAACGATATTGTGCCAACCACCTAGTAAATCGAGACAAAACATAAATAGCCTTAAGCGCCTCCTACAGGGGATATATTGTTTTACCCATCCGAATATCCCAATCACATAAACAAACGGAACGACGTAAGCAAAAGACGAAATGGTTGATTTGAACGAGATCAGTTGTTAAAAGACCCAATTAAATGGATCATAAATGAAACAGATTGAAAGCAGACAATATATAGACAATTTGAAAAGGATCAATATTATTACAAGCAAATTAGGGTATTAACATGGCAGATTGCCTTTAGGAAATAAACTTCGTTTACAATAAAACAGCTGCCATTGTAGGGATATTTCGAAATAACAACTTTAACGAGGAAAGAATTGTCTTATTTACAAACAGATCAATCAGGATTTATAAGTTTGTCACTTGAATATCAGGCAACATATAAGGTTTCTAACATTAAATGTACAAACAATCACAGCTAGCAAATTTGCTGCCGTTAAAAACTGGACAAAATCACTAAAAAATAATGCAAGTGCATTAAGCACCCACGCTGGATAGATGATCAGATTATCTTTAAAAGCATGTATACCCTTCGCAGAAAAATACTATACAAAGTTCATATTGGCATACATATGCCCACGAAGCACATTATAAAGCCGCTGCCGAAATTGCACGTGACTTGTAAGCTGGAAAAGACACGAGACAGTCCAAGAAATTTCAGTAATTTGTGTATAGCACGAGATTCAGAAGCATAGTGACTCATTCATGAAAGACATATCTGGCATCCGCACAGAAATATTAGGTGAGTACTCGAGGAATATACGACAACGAATAAAGTTGAAGGGATTAGATAAACGGGGAAATATATTAAGCGGTTTAATTCAAAATCTGCTAGATACAGCAGGCAACTATGAGGGCTCTCGAATATTATTCAGTAAAATGCAAAATAGAGCAGAATCACAGTTTGCATTACGCACCAACAGTGGGAAGGATTAAGATAATTAAAAACAGGAAAGGGAATGTGCGTTTAAAACTAATATGTCGGTAGAAGTATGAGAACAGTCCTAAATATCAATTACAATTTACTCAATAGTTTCTAAAAACTCGTAGTCACTACCTAATTGACATGACCAGCGACAGTAAATACTTACCGAGAACTGAAAATAAATAAAGTTCAGAATACATATGATGATGATAGAAGATAAACGTCGAGCTGCTACAAATTAATGTTTTTAACAAAGCGAAAATTCCAGACCAGATAATTGAGCACATAAATAAACTGTACTATCAGTGAACACAATGTGAGGAAACTGATTGGCACGATGTGACTGAAAGCCGTCAAAATGTCCAATTTGCAGCATTGACTATGATGCACGCAAATGAAAAAATTCTGAGTAGAATGAACAACAAACAGTCGACGAAGGAAATAACAAGAGGATTGGGTACAAATCGAACATATTTAGCAAGCCCTGCATACCTTGTTTGAATATGATGACACACATTGAGATCTATCATTGATACAATAAGTTAGTGAGTTTTCATTTGGAGATACAACACCATTAGAAGATATAGTGATTTCCTCAAATCCTGAATCTGAACTACTTGCATCGAAAGCATCCAAACCGACAGGTGAACTGCTTATAGTGCCGATGGGTGAACTGAGACTTCTGTGTTTGGATATGTGTAAAACAAAGTTTGGATCATTAACACATGTGTTGAGACCCGCTGCTGCTGTATTAGATAGTTGTGTATTGTTATTTAAAGACGGTGTAGTAATATTAGATAAAGAACCAGATCGTAAATCCATTTCAGAATCGTCTGTAAAGAAATAAGATAGTATTTTAGAATCATAGGAACCATTGTAAAGCGGTTCAATGAAACAAATCCTACCTGAAGATGTAGTCGCAATGGAACACTCTGAACAGTTGCGATTTCTTTCTTTCCAACTTTGCAGTTTTAATGAACGACTTCTTTTCTCCTCCAACTTTTTTCTAAGAGCCTGGCGTCGTTTGAGCAATTGGACACATCTTTGTTTCTCACTATCTTCATAGACCTCAAGACACTGCTTTTTCTGTTTTAAAAGCTGGACATTAAAAATAACATAGATATGAATAAACAAAGTTATCGAAAATAGTGTATTACAAATAGTGGAAAATCACTTATTCATGGAACGTACTTGTATAGTAGCTGTTGCCTTTTTTAGAACTGTCAGCATAGTTATTCTTGGTACGTCATTATCGAAATTTAGGTGCTCTTTTAGAGTCTCCATACAAGTACGAAGGTGTGCACGGCTGCATGAACTGGGTTTACATTTTCATTTATGAACTTACCGACTTTTTTCAAGCTCATTGTGTGTGCATCTAAATGAATTTTAGGATTTTCTGCAGAAAAAACTTACCTCACAGATGTGACTGGTCGTTTTTGTGAGCTATAGCTGTGAGGACAGGAGTATGATGAATGTGTTTCATCGTAATTTCTCTGAGATCTATGTTCCCACTTATCTGTACTATAGGAATATCGATGTAATGTTTCTAAATAAAATAGTAAAAGTTGGCACTCTTCATCCTACCTTCCTCATCCAACTTCTTGGCAGCTTGTAAAAGTAATAGAAGACCATTTTTCTGTGGATGGCTAACGGACATGGACAAAAACCAGACAGAAATGCGACAACTACGTCCACTGCCTTTTTATTCCAGCATGAATCGCTTTTCTGCCTTGACCTTGGTTTATATAGCAAAGACCTTGTGTTTTGATTGGCTTTCACGTTAGTTACAAATAGTCGATAAATAAGCAGATTTCGTTTGTCAAGCATATTAGCTATGACAATATATAGTAACCAATCAAATTCATGTTTTAATAAGAGCTTCTATATTTTAACGAATTAAAATGGAGAGATTTAACCTGAGTGAATACTTCATTTGCTGTTTCCTTGTACCATTCGAAAGGCAGGTTGGTGGAAAGCATAACAGGCTGGATTGGGCTGAACCACATGATCCACCACATTTAAAGGGATAATTTGCGTAGATAACAACAACACCCTTAACCCATAGCTTGAGAGCCCTAGAAGCTCCGTGATTTTCCCTAAATTTTGGCTTAAGCCTGGTATTTTTACGTAACTGAGCATGGTTAATTGTAACTATCGCATTTGAATAATGTAAGATCCCGCTAATAAAATAGCATATAACTAAGGGAAATGCCATTCGATACAGCATGATGTACATAACTTAGAACAATACTTAGTTGTAAATGAATTACAGGAGACTATTGGTTGAAAATTTTCGAAATTATGTCACCTCTCTACAATAAACAATATTGGGTCATAATGTGTTTTGAAATAAAGATTTTGAGGATTAAGCAACTGATTTCAAACAAATTATTATAACCTTATGATAGAATTTCAATCTTTTAAATACTTGGTATCGATTTATCTATGTTTATGATATGATGTGAATAATTTGGCTCCTTGTGGCTGATCATTACGAACAAAGTATTGATGACATCTAGATACAAAGGTCCAATATTTAAATTACTTCATTTTGACACTTAAATACCTATAACTTCATTTTAATTTAAGAAAAGGTATAAAAAGTAAATGAGTAGTTTATATAACCAGACAATGATAGTGTGACTAAAATATAGATGATCCTTAATAGGGGTATCACTGAAAGCATTATGGTTATATGGATTTCATTTGCTTGATTACAAAGAACACGAACAGCATTACACACTAATTATATTTACCAATGTTTCAAATCCAAAAGAATCCCAATCGACACTATCAATTTATAAAAAGACGTAATTATTGTCCTATCAATTATTCACCAATAAATAACGATAGGTCGAACTCCATGATTCTAAATGTAAATGTTTGGTAATGAAGGTTAACATAGCAATGCGTAGGGTTTATCCCTCTGATATATATAATACGGTGTTGAAAGGCCTTTGTATTTCTCTTGATGTGCACGGATTATCATGTTTTGGCCTTTCACTTTGAATGGGGTTAAACAAAAGGAGAGTTGTGAATGAATCATATGTCTTGTTATATTCCATAAAATAAAACTAGTCTGGAGAATATGTAAAGATGATCTTTACAATTTTCTGTTAGACTAGTTCATGTTAGTTACTTGACTGATACCAAGTAATCAGTATTTGAACAGTAGCAATATGCAGCAGTAAACTGTTCATAAAATTTTCATTCTTGACACTAATTGTCAATAAATACAAAATACATAGATAAAATAGAGGTTCTTCTTGACTATTTCCGTACATTTAAAGAAGAATTATGGTTTACCTGATTATGGAATCATTCGACTTAGTGGCTAAGATACAAACTTAATTACTACAACCTGTTGTCTGATAACTGTTAAAAACCCAGGATTAAAAGGTCAGTCTTTAATTAATATATTTATTGATAGTCAACATTAACTAAATAAATTAAATATAACATTGTCTAAAGATTCTTGTTTTCAATCTCGAACAAGATTGAAATTATTTCAATGGGGGTTTGTGGAGATTGTAGTGATTTTTAATAGTTGAGTTCATGAGTCAATATAAGCTAGATCATCAATGAAAACATGGAGGCACTGGGCAGCCGTTCCGTCTTAGTATGGGACTCCCATATTAGGACGAAATGGTCGTCTAATGCTTCCAGGTTTTCAATGATGGTTTGGCTTACATCGACTCATGAAATTGTTTACTAACATAGATTTCCAATGATAAATATAAACTAGTATTCATTATTATATACTTTTTATTGATACCTTATAAACCTCAACCAAATAGAAAAGAAAAACCGTTTATGTATTAATCAACATTAGATAATATTCACACGAAATTTTGTTTTAAGGTAAAGAATACATGTATGGAAATATTCGAAAAAAATGTTTACAAAAAAATAAGTCATAGATCTGTTCAGTTAAACTAATTACTGCCAATTCAAAAAAATGTTACTTTAGATCATTGAAGTGATCCAAAGGAATCACCAGGAATGCTTAGACATAGGCTTCAGTCTGGCCAGAACCAATAAACAAAAGCATTTCTGAAAGAACAAATGTTGACCATAGCATTCTAACCCGGGTCATTATTTATCACAGTTACAGATACTACAGTTTAGCTAGTTGATGGGTTTACAACCTACTTATTACTTTAGATCTTCTAACATCCACTTAGTTGTAATGTGATGTCGGATCAAATGGATTAGAAGTTACATTATATCCAATCAGCACTAAGAGTAGACAACATAAAATTGGTTTCTACTCAATGATCAACAACAGCATTTCAACGATCTCCAAAACCCAAAAGTGAAGAGACTTTGTAATCTGTCAAATAAATCTCCAGTCCTCCTGTTCTTTGTTATACAGCAGTATCAAAGGGACGTTAGATTGTGTAAATGTTGTGTAACCACAAATGATTATTATAGAATTTGAAGCTTCATAACCTCTTATTATTTTAGATTACGTATCAGTACTAAGATTTATCAGTCTAGACTATTTTCAAATGATCTGAATTCATTTTTCAACGTTCAGTCATATTTAAACAGAATTAAAACTGCATTATGTTTTTAGTCAAATGATAATCACCATTGAATAATGTGGCATATTAAACAATGATGGCTACATCATTAGTTCAGACAGTCTGTTCTTAATATTAAGTAACCTAACGTTTAAGTTTAGATATTCAGACTTGTGAATAACATGAATCTTAGTTATGAAACCTTGAATACAGTTTATTTATTATGTATTGTTTAATTAGTTATTTGAAAATTGTTTTATCATAATAGTTTTTAGTGGCCTTTGAAGTTATGGATGGTAACTGGTGATAATTTGTAAATTATAGGGAAAAATACTTTCTAGTAGTCTCTGGCTTCCAACAATCCTCTAATTGACATCAGTTTACAATAAAAACCATCTTCAGTCTATACAAATCACAACCCCAAAGAAACACATCAGTAGATAAAATGAATAATTAATTATTGAGATTCTAAACGTTGCATAAGTAGGTGGAAAACTACTTCCTCTTATTTCATTTTCGTTTCGGTTCTATGCTATTCATTCTAGTTAATTCTATCCTTTTGGGATGATTTCTTTAATCCAAGTTGCCTGTTTTGTTAAAATTTAGCCACTATATGGGAATAATAATACTTGATGGTTTAACTAATAATTGTACTGGAAATCTGTCAAGGTATGTGATAATGAAAGTAACTGATATGAAGACTTATCAAAAGCTAGAATATCATTGAAAATCGAGGAACACCAGTGAGTTGTTTTGTCCCAATCGACAACTTTTCAACATTGGCGACTAACAACACTAACACTACGGATTACATTTTGGATGTTCAATTCTTGTGATGACCACGACAAAGTTAGATTTCCCTGAGAGATTTATGCGCTTTTCAACATTTTAATTTGATAAATTAATGTATGGAGATTAATAATCGTCGCATTTATAAATATTATTAACATTACTAGTATTATTATTAGCTTATTTCAAATACCAGATGAGTTTTGTGGATATTATAGTAATTTCAGTGTTTAAGATCATGAGTCATTTGAAGCTAGAACATCACGGAAAACCTGGAAGCAGTGGACGGCCGTTTCGTCCTACTGTGGGGCTCCTCAACAGTGCACATTCACGACCCTACCCCTGCGAGATTCGAACCCAGGACCTACTGGTTTCACGTGCGATCACTTAACCATTAGGCCACTGAGCTGGCCGGAATCCAACGCTGTTGATGTCTAGCTTTAACTAATCCACAAAATTGAGCGACACATCCATTATTGTCTTCAGTGAGTTACTATCTCACAACAGACCTGGTCGGACTCCACAATAGAACGGAACGACCATCCAGTGCTTCCAGGTTTTCCATGGTGGTTTAGCCTCAAGTGACTCATGATCTTAACCATTGAAATTATTTCGAATAGTTAAAAATTATTTTTAAGCGAAATTTGATTAGCATATTATGATATGAAATAAAATCACAGCTAAAAAGTTTCAGTAGTTGAAATCATGAGTCAGTTTAAGCTAAACCACTATGGAAAACCTAGAAGCAATGGAACGGCTCAGTGGTCTAGAGGTTAAACGTTCGCGTGTGCGACCGAAGCTCTTGGGTTCGAGTCCTTTATGGTGAAAGATCGTGGATGCGCACTACTGATGAGTCCTAAAACGGGACGAAACGGCTATCCAGTGCTTCCAGGTTATCCATGATGGTCTAGCTTCAATTGACTCATGATTTCAACTATTGAAATTACTATAGTATCCACAAAAAACCTCTTCTAAAAAAATCTATCATTCAACTATTACAAACGATGCTTATAATTTATGTGTATGATTTAAATTAATTATGTGTATGAATGTTATAATGTAGTCAATGTAATTCTTTATTCACAATGTACATATGAAAGGTGTAAGTTGAAAACTTATATGGAGAATTTCAAATAAATATGAACTGATGGCTAAAAACAGTTTATTTTTGTGTTTTTGTTCTAAATTTTACTGACAATCAATCATGAAGTATTGTTGTGATGATAATAATTTCAAGCAATAAGAGATAGAGTTAAAAGTTTCTTGTAATCAAATTCTAAACTCAGGAAAGTTTCATAATTGTTGGCAAATTAGAAATATACAATTTACTGTCACCTTTTAA